CCACAAAAAAGCATTAAAAGCAAAGCCAGAATGCCACAGATCTTCTGGACGCTAATACGGCCCCCACTTGGCAGCCACACGCTGTTCGGTCCCGTGGGTCAAGCCTCCCCCGACCCCAAGCCCAGGGCCTCCTGCCCTCTCCTGCCCCAGCCAGGCTGGCACCCGGCTCCTGGAGGACAGGGATGCTCTGCAGTCCCCAGCTCCCCGTGTCCCCAGTGCACAGAACCCCACGGCCCCCCACCTGCTGGCTGCCTCCTGTGACAGATGCCGCGCTCGGCCCAGCCAAGACCCTGGGAAGACCGCCTTCCCCACCCAGAGCTCTCACCCCTCTACCTCTGACACCACGACCTCTTGCAGGGACGACCCCAATGCCTCCTAACTGGTCTCCTGTCTTCATGCTCCCAGTGGATTCCAGAGAGATCTTTCCAGAACGTAGCCGTGACCCTGTCACTTCCCTCCACAAACACCGCAGACCTGGGCCGCCTGCTAGGATGCACGTCCACCCGCTCCTCCCTGACCAGAGCTCGTGTCCCCAAGTGCACGATACCCTGTGGCCCCTGCTGGGGCCGGGCGGCAGAGGGAGGTGGTGGGTGTGCTCACCTGAGCTTTGGTTTGGGGGTGCTGAGGACACTGTCATCGTCCTCCAGGTCCGGGCCACTGTCACTGGGGTTCTCCATGTCCAGCGTGTCATACAGAAGGTCCAGGTCCTCCTCTGCCTCAGGGACATGCTCTGCAGGGTCCTGCTCTGAATCCAGGACCTATAGGGAGGTCAGACGTGTGAGGGCTGGTCTGGGGGGGTCCCCTTGGCAGGACAGACGGCAAGAAGGCACGGAGCCACCAAGCACCCTCTCTCTGGCATGTGCTACCAGCCCAGTTCTGCCAGACGCTGGGGTGACCTCTAGGGCCTCCAGTCACCGGGTGCCGAGCACAGCACGGCCATTCTGCCCCTCGTGGCTCCTACTTCAACAGAGAAATGCACGGCAGGAGTGCAGGGCAGGGAGCCCACCTGGGACGGGTCCGCACCGCAGTCAGGGCTTGGGATGCCTCCCTCCCCAAGGCCTCTCCCCGCTCACTGTTCCCCCCAACCCTGAGCTGACTTCCATCCCCATGCATGGGCCTCCTCCAGAACGCCACAGAAATGGTCACCCTCGGCATGGGGCTCCTCCCACTCAGGCATGCCTATCAGGAGGCGTCCGCACTGCTGGCCTCCAGTGCAGTCCTCATCAGCACCCGCCTGCCCCTGAACGTGGCCTGGGTCTAGCTGGCCACCAGCGGATGGACGCTCCAGGCTTTGCTGCCAGACGAAGCTCCTGGGACTGTCTGTCCCTCAGTCCTCATGTGGACATCCTGGATCTCACGGGGTGGATACCAGGTACGGGACCACTGGGGTGACCGCTGGTTAAGCGTGAAGTTGACACCTGGAGGAACTGCCAGGCTGTCTTCTGCAGTGGCCGCCCCGTGGGGTGTTCCCGTTAGCCCTGCAGGTCCGGCTGCTCCCCCCGACGTCGGCACCCCCACACTCTATCCTGCGAGGTCACGGCTACCCTCTGTGGCCTCAGGAGGTCGCCCTGCAGCTTCTCAGGGGCTTGCTGGCTATCCAGGTCCCTCCTCAGAGAAAACCTCTAGTCTGAGTCTCTGACCAACTCTTGAACTGGACAACTGATTTCTCTCCGGATTGTCTCTTTATTTGGGGTTGTAAGGGTGCCTTCCACCTTGTGGGCACGGGTCCCTCACGGGATCTATAATTTGCAAACACTGTCTACGTGACAGTTCACCTCCCTGATGGCTGTTCGGAGCACAGAGGCGTTTACGTTTTGATGTGCTCTGACTTACCGGTTTCCCTCTGGCGGCTCGTGCGTCTGCTGTCCTGTCTAAGCCACAGGGCCCGGCCCCCGAGCACCAAGATCACTCTCCTGAGTTTCATCGTGTAAGCGCTTACGTTTAGGTCTTTGATCCGTCTGGAGTTAATTCTGTACGTGGTGTGAGGTCCTTGTGCGTGTGGACACCTGGCTGTATTACTACTTTCTGCTGAAAAGCCTACTTTCCCCCATTGAGTGGTCTTGGTACCCTTGTTGGAAACTGACCACTAATCCCTCGCGCGGTCTCGATTACTGCACCTCTTAGAGAGTTGTGCAATTAGCAAGTGTGAGTCCTTCCACCTTGTTATCTTCCAAGACTGTTGTTTACTGCGGGTTCCTTGCATTTCCGTGCAGAGTGGGGACGAGCCGGTCTGCAGACAGGGATCCTACAGAAGCCATGGACGGATCTGGGGGGACTGAGGCTGAGATGGGTCTGCTTCCAGCTCCAGCGTCTGAGGAGAGCTGCCGCCCGGCCGCAAGACCCTTCACGTGTGTGGACGAGCGGCCGTCACCCTCCGTGCAGCGACGACCACATGCGGCGGGGACACGTGGACACTTACACGCCACCTCTCCCGGGTGATCCAGGACCTGCGGGCCAACTCTCTTACGCCCACGTTAAAAGGAAAACTGAGGTATTGTTTTGTGGTTATGAAAGGTATACAAACCCATCCCAGCAAATTTGGAGAGTGGAAAACAGCTAGAGGAAGGAAGCTGCAGGTCAGAGCGTGTCGATGGGGGGCTGTGTGTGCGGCGGCAGGGTCTCGCAGAAACTAACCGAGAACGGCCCCCAAATACCCTCGACTTAGAATGACACAAAACACAAAACGCATGGTCACACCCCCAAATGACATCCAGCCTCCCCCCGGGTCTGTGACCGCAGACACGCGCTGGCGGCCTCGGCTCGGCCCTCGAGGTGCCCCGGGGGTGGGACGGTCAGTGGCAGAGCCAGGACGAGGCCCGGATGCCTCCAGAGTCCGGGTCTCACAGGACGCCATGGGCCTGGCAGTCCAGGCAGGGTCACTCACCTCATCTGACACTTTGAACCTCCGCAGCAACGCCACGACCTTCTGCTTGAAGTTCTGTTGCTGCAAGACAAGCAGGACAGAATCAGAACCCAAGGGGCCGGCTTCCCTTGGGAGGACGGGGCAGGCTCGGCGGGAGGGAGGCACGGTCCCCACGGCTCACGCAAGCCCGGCTCTCGGCAGCCAACAGCGCCAACCCCTTTGCAAGCATTTGACACCACAGCTGTGCTTGGACTTGGGACCAGACCGGGGAGGAGCCGGAGGGGGGGCGTGCGCCGTCTCTCCCTCCATGTGAGCAAGGCTGCCGGCCCTGCCCGAGGCACCAGCTCACCCCAGCGGGACTCGGGGCCGGGCACACGGGGGGCAGGCGGATGGCAAGGGCTCAGAGGGAGCCCAAGCTCCACCGTGCCCAGCGCTGCCCTGGGCCTCAGAGGCTGAGCTCTGGCCACTGAGTGAGGCAGCTGCCCCAGCCCCCCTCAAGGGGGTGACCCTAGAAAGGACTCCCACACCCCCTCCACAGGCGTCAGGCCCCTGAGCCCCGAACCAGGCTCACACAGGTGCCGCCATAAATGCCCCACCCGCTGTACCGGGACCAGGCCCAGGCCTCCCAGCGTTGCCAGAGGAGGGGGCAGAGGTTTCTGAGCTGGGCTTGTGCCCCAAGCGTTCCGGGGCCACCCACTGCGCAGCCCGGGCCTGGGGCCACGGCCCCGCACACAGGAGCGGCTTGGCCCTGGGACTGTCCGGGGCTCTGTGCCCAGTGGTGGGCGTTCTGTGACGGGCTAAGGCCTCCGCCTGGAGCTTTCCTCCTGGAGGAGAAGCGGGATGGCCAGAGCCCAGGGGCCACCGTGCCGGGTGGGCCCGACGCTGAGCAGAAACGAGGGGCTTGTCTGGGCACAGGTGGGAGGCACATAGCCTCCCCAGCTCTGCTCGTGGAGCAGCCTGAACAGGACGGCCGTTGTCCCACCTCCTCCCTGCCCTCTGGGATGAGCACGAGGACCCCGCCGGTGAAGCTTCCCGGGTCGATGACCAGCACCTCGTAACCCACCTGCCAGCACAAGGCCGTGGGGTCTCCCTGCCTTCACGCCCCACAAAGAGGCTGGGCCTCAGGAGAAGCCAGCAGAGCCAGGCCACGGGGGGGTCCCCGAGACGGCCGCCTCCCGTCCCGACGCCCAATCTGGGGCCCCAGCTCCCCAGCCCCGCCCTTCCCCAGTGTTAGTAAAACCAGTTTCCACCGACCCTGGTCATGGATGCCGTTCTTACTATCGATCGCCGCTGCTTCTTGGGTTTCCCCACATCGAAGTCCTCCTCGTCCAAGTCCTGGGGAGACAAGCACAGGGAGTGGCAGAGGGCACCCCCAGAGCACCTGTGGGCATGCGGCAGGGCCCCGGGGCACACGCGGGGGGCCAGCTCCCAGCCTCCACCCCCCTCTCGGCGCCACCCTCATGCCAGCAGCTCAGGGGTCCCTGGCCGTCCACACCCCGAGCGTCTGGGGGCCCACGCGGCCTCACGGTCCTGCGCACGGGGCCCCGGCTTACCTGCCCTTGTACGGCATCGTCACTGGCCTCCTGCTCAGAGGAGAAGCTCTCATACTCCTCCTCGGAGTAGTTATCTATGGAATGAGCAAACGGAAGGGGGAGCACCTCGAGGTTCCGACCGGTGTCCTGGGCGATGAGGCGGCGGCCAGGGGACGGGCCCCTGGACCCATGGGGAGCCATGCACAGCCCCCGCAGGTAGACTTCGGGGAGGGGGCAGGCCCGTGCTTCCCGCTCCCACGGTGGCCCCTACGGACCTCAGGCGCTTCAGCCTGGATCGCGTGCCCAACTGGGTCCCCTACGTGCCCTCCCGCACCTCCGGGGGACAGCGGCCGCCATCGCGAGGGTGCTGACAGCCACGCCAGGACCTGTGCCCAGACCCAGGAAGGCACCGCCATCAGGCCCATGACCTCTTGCCTGCCGCCGAGCTCGCGCGCCTGCAGCCCAGGCTCCCAGAGTGCCCAATGTCGCCGGTGCAGCGAGCTCACCCAGCCCCAGGGAAACCCGCAAACCCTCGTGGTCCCTCCCCAGCTTCCCAGACCTGCGGGAAGGGGGCCAGGAGGCAGCCAAGCGGAGCCCCTGCAGCTGTACTCACCTGCGGACTTGGCCTTGGGCCCCGCCTGCATGGCGCTGTCCTCGTGGTCGATGGGCTGGCTGGACAGGGAGAAGATCCAGATCTCGGCCACCTTGACCGACGCCTCCTTGATGCTGCTGCAGAGGCTCAGCACCTGGCCGCCCTCGGAGGGGTGTTGCATCACCTGGGGGCAGGGCTCAGCTCTAGAAGGGGCCCAGGCGCAGGGCCAGCACCCAGCAGCACCCCTCCTGGGTGCACGGGAGCAGGGCCACGGGGCAGGCAGGAGACGCGCCCACGGGGCCGGAGGACACTGGTCAAGACTCTGGGGGCCGGCGCCAGGCTCAGCCACTGGGGACTGAAGGCTGTCGAGGAGGGGAGGGTCTGAGCCCGCCTGTCCAGGGGCTGCAGCGCGGAGCAGACTGTGTGTGAGGCTATGGCTCGGGGCCACCAAGCCCCGGGATCTGCGTCCAGGGACCCATGTCCGTGGGGGACCAAGGAGGACCGGCCGCCTGCACAGGCTGGGGGTCTTGTGTGGCAGAGCCGACACCCAGCAGGCCGGTGAGTCCTTGGAGCCATTCGGGTCGTGAGAGATTTCAAGCAGACCAGGGACAGGGACACACGCCCCTTCGCGCCCCCTCGCACCCCCTCGCACCCTGGCTGGTGACAACTCCGAGGACGCCCCTGCAGGCCGGAGCCTCTGCATCCTACAAGCTGCCTTTGGGGTCATTTGACCAAATCCAAATTTTGGGATTTCATGGACCCGATTATTTTTAATCTGGGGAGCCTGATTTGGGGTGCCAGCCCTTGAGTAGAGTACGAAAATGAAATTTTTGAGAAAGGTAACATCCGCGACTGCTACCATCTCAGAGACCAAATTAGGAAGGCTCCGCGCACGGGCAGAGCTGGACAGGCAGGTGCACGGTCTTCCTCCTCACGCCCTCCACACCTGTGCCACCGGCCTGAAGGGCGCTTGTTGGGAGTGTCAGGCAGGTAGGGTCTGAGGGGAAGCAGGAGGCCTGCAGGCTTGACCAGGTGCCATGGGCATGGGAGTCCTGGGCCAGAGGAGCAGGGCTGAGGGGTGTGGGGGCAGCCCTGCCCTGCCCCAGGTGGGCACCAACACAGCTCCGCGTTCCTGAGCATCACAGTGCCTGGACAGCCCTGAGCGCGACCCCGTGACGGGGACGGCCCCGAAGCACAAAGGACACGAGGGGCCTCGGCTGCCAACCACAGCTCGGGACGGCAGGTCCTCCGAGACACGGTGGTGCCGGCTGGTCAGTTCCGTTTGCATGAAGGTCCCCTCCTCGCCTCACCAGGGAACTTCCTTACGCTCACAGCCCGCGCCCCCACCCCACAGCAAGCACGTGCCGCCCGCCTAGGCAGCCCACGGGCCAGGGCCAGCGCCCACGGAAGGGGACGCGGGTGTCCCAGGAGGACGCGCTCCCTGGGGGGCACGGGACAGACCCACGCTGGGCAGAACCCACAGGCCGTCAGATGAGGCCCGATGGGGGCCTCTGGCTGAGCGGGGATGCGCTCACCTCGGCCATGTTGATGGAGCCCGCCGCCAGCGTTTTGTAGCCCAAGATCGTTCGGTTTTTGTAGCGCTTTCTCCGCTGCAGCATGATCTGCAGCTTGTTGCCTTCTCTCTTCAGGAAGTGAGGGTACTGCAGAGAAGGGGTCACGGCTGCCGTCTGTCCCCGTGGCCACACCAGCGCAGCACCGACGAGCCCGGAGGCTCGCTCCTCGCCAGGCTGCCGGGGGCCTCCGTCGGGGACACGGGAAAAGCCACTGCCGGCAGACGTGAGCAGCTGGCCAGGGCCTCTGGGTCATCAGCGGGGTCAGCCAGCGACCCTGCCCACGACGCGGACGGCAGGGGCGTGACCCCGAGGTGGCGCTGGTCCAGTGGCCCATCAGAGCACCACGGGGGCTTCTGCGAGAGCAGGGCTCGTGTGCACCAACAGAGGCTCGCAAATGCGTCCCTTAACCTCACAGAATCCGCACGCCTGTGCCCGGCTGGCCAGCGCTTAAAGACCGCGAACTGCACGTCTTGGAAGCCGTGCTCCGATAAAGCGGATCCCGCAAAAGAAAACTTCCACGCAGACCCCAGAAGCCCCCGCAGGGGATGCCAGAGCTGGGGTCACGTGCCCCCGCCCCGGGCACAGCCAGGCCGGGGCGGGGAGAAGTGGTGGGGCAGGAGGTGGGGTCCTCACGGGGAGACGAGATTTGAACCGGTGTGCGATGGGCCGACGCTAAGCCCAGTGTGTTACGCACGTCTGCGAATCTACACAGCACCCACCTTAAACAACTGTGCGAAGAGGAACGGAGGCAGGATGAGCGCCCTGCGGGTGGGTTGGGGCCAGCCTGCTCCCACCCACAGACCTGGGCTCTGGAGGGTCCGTGGGGAGGAGGTTCTGTTTCATGCTGTGGGGCAAGCAAGGGGCACCTAACATACTTCAAAGGGGTCAGAACTTACAAAACTGAGGTCCCCTGTTCCTCCCCATCTTCTCTGAACACTGGAGCCAAATGGCCTTTTTTTCTCAGGTTTGTTTGTTTATTTACTTATTTAAGTAATCTCTACACCCCATGTGGGGCTCGAACTCACCACCCCGAGATCAAGAGTCACATGCTTTCCCGACTGAGCCAGCCCGGCATCCCCAAAATGACTTTCTGAGAGTGAGCTTGGGCCTCACTACATTCTTTAGCACAGGACCGGGAGGGAAAATGCGAACTAATAAAGCACGCATGTCTTCTAACATTTAGGAGGACAGCACACTGAGGGAGAACATCCCTGCAAGGTGGGCCGCTGCCCCCTGCCCACGTGCCAGGCCCACCTGCAGAGAGAAGGTCAGCGCCAGGTCGGTCTCCACTTGTCCGCTGGGGGGCAGCACAATCTCATGGGACCGCAGGATCCGTTTGGAGCCCTGGGACAGAACAAAACGGCTGCTCATTCACAAGGGGGCATCTCACAGTGAAACCCACTGCCCTCAAACTCTCACGGTGAAGAGCCACAGACCAGGCAGTGGGAGGCATAAGCTCACGGGATTCCCAAACGCACCCTTGGGGAGATTTGTCAAGAGCCTTAGAAATGTCCCCATCCTGTCACCCTCTAGTTCTCCCCTAGATGATCCAGATTACTCACTGCCACATTTAAAGTAACTACCAAAAATGCAGCAGTGGGGTGTGGGGGTCACGGGACAATGCCAGGGTGTGGGGGGTCACAGGACAATGCTTGGGGTCACAGGGCAATGCTGGGGTGCAGAGGGGTCACGGGACAATGCCGGGGTGCGGGGAGGGTCACGGGACAATGCTTGGGGTCACAGGGCAATGCTGGGGTGCATGGGGGTCA